GATTGGTCTGAAATGATGAAAGAGGTAGAAAGCGGCAAAAAATTGCGCCATGTACAATGCAATGACAGGTAAGAAAAAATGCTGCACAGAAAAATATAGGTATATGGAATTATAACAGAGAATATTAAAATATTATTCTTACATCGTTCATAATAAAGAAAGCCTCGAAGCTCACATAAGACTAGGACGCACGTAACTTTTGCGACCAATGTGATACCATTAGGGTGTAACATCAACCAACACCTGATAAATATCTGGTATCAACGACAAACTTTAGAAATTTTTGAAATGAACTGTTCAAAGGTAATTAAAGTCTGCTGTTAATCATTTCTTTTACGTCATTATCTTGGCAGCTTCCACAAAAGTCACTGCCGCGTCCGCCCGAACTAGTCACGTTTACATATATAAAATCTTTAATAACGAAGGTCAGCAAATTGAAACTATACTTTGTTAAATGTAAAAATGTTTATTTTTTTGCTGAGACATTTTAAGTCAGAATTGCCTTGAGAGATTTGCTTTTAATTAATAAGACGTTTCAAGGGGTTTTCATTTCTGATATTATTGTGTAATCCAAAAAGGTGGTGTGCCATCTGAATAGATATCAATCCTACCCAAGATAGCTTTGTGATCCGGAATTCAAATTAAATAACCGCTATTCACTTTTTTTTTTGCATTTCCAAAAGAAGGATATAACCATATGGAGGATATCAGAATTCCCGCCTCTGATATTATTGTGCAATACGAAAAAATAGTGTCGCATCTAACCAAGTCATTGGTTTTACAATTTTTCCGATATCAGTTTAGTCCACAGTTTTCAAATCAAAACAGGTCCTAGAGTGTTTCGAGCTTCTGCAATCACTTGCAGCTCGGAATAAGGTAAGCCTTTACTGGGATCCGGGTCACAAAGGAGTTTTGGGAAATGAAAAGGTTGATGAGCTAGCCAGAACTGCATCAAAAACTGCTTTTATAGGCCCTCAACCCTTTTGTGGGATAAACTGGGCCAGTACAAAATAGATTATCAAGGAAATGGAAAATCATATGCGGCTGGAGTACTAGGTAAACTTTCCACCGTACTCCCACCGTACTCCTACAAAGACATTCTTAAATTCTCAAAATGTAATTTAAGGTTGATAACGGGTTTCATTACAGGTCATTATGGTCTGAAATATCACCTTCATAAACTACAATTATCTGCTAACACGGAATGCAGATTATTCCTCGAAGATGAGGAAACGGCCATGCACATTCTTTGTGACTGTCCAGCTTTAATAACGCACAGAAGAAACCTGTTTCATAAAGAATTTCTGTCACCAGAGCAGATTAAGAACTCTTCTCTAGATTTAGTTCTAGACTTTATTCACAAAGCTTTAAGGGCCTTTGTTTAATCAATAATGAAATTGGTACAATAGGTCTCTTCTGGCCGCAGTACAGGCTGTTTCACGACTACTCTTTAATAAAAAATATAAAAATAGTCCACAGTTCATTCAAATATGAGATGCATTATAAAACTGCTCTTGACATCATCTTTGCTCTAATGATTGATTCGATTGCAGCTAGCTTGCCGAATAAAATAGAGTCATTACTCCACAATTTTGTATTCATTGCGTTTTTCCCACATTTCATAGAGATGTAAAACGATTATTGAACGATTTTATTGATCATATCTTTACACTAGTGATAATTTGATGGCAGCTTTCTTATCTGAAAAAATGTGGGCATCGGTCTACCATGTCATAGTACATCTTACCAACTCAGCTACCTTACAAATGACTTTAACTTTAGCTTGGAAAACACTAAAAAAGTAAAGTAATCAGTAATCATTTAAACTACACGATGATATGAATACAACTTTTAGGTTCTTCATGCCGTTCTTAACCCCGTTCTTTTTAATTCCCAACTTTACTTATATCCAAAATACTAAACGTAGTTCGTTGTCATCATTACAATTACTGTAGAAATGATCCTATCCGTTTATCTATTAAGACATGTGTACTTTAGAAAGTCTTTCGTGATGTTTTCACTTTTATAGATAATATTTTTATACTAGTTTCTTTATGATGTATTTAAATCCTTTATAATATTATACCGATAAATAAAATTATTTTTATCATAAGTTTTCCTTTTCCTGATGAAGACAGATAACAAGTACCGAAACAAATATTGTAGATACAAGACATTTCAGAGCACATCTACATATGGACTAGGGTAATGGCAAAAGCAAAATGGATCAAAAAGAAAGGAAGTAAATATTATAGTAGAAAGGATATAATAAATAAATAATAAAAGGTATAAGAGAATAGCAAAGACTATAGAAGAACTATCACCAAAATGAAGAGTAAATATAAGGTGAAAAGATAATGGACATGAAGAATGAAGCAGCTGAAACTGCGATATGTCAATATTATATTATCAGAATATTATCAGTAGAGTGGAAAGTGAGTCTCAGATTCATTTAACTTAAATCAAATACAGGTTATTAACAATATTTAAAAACTATGGCATTTTCTTTTTTATAAAGTATCTATAAATAAGTATATATAATAAATATACTAAACTAAGTATCTATAATAAGTATTTATACTTATCTATAAATTTTAAAACCTTTTGTCAAGTACATTAGATTAGATTATGCTGGCAGAACAAAAAGGCCACGCGTTGACCATTAAGGTCCATTGCGATACCAGATCAGAGTTTTATTTTAGCGATTGTATGCATCACTTACGATGCGAGATTCATTAGCAAAATTTATTAGGATTCCAACAGAAACCTCAGGTATGTGCTCCAGTCCTCTAATACTGACAGCCCCCAAGTATTTTTGTCGAGTTCTCGAGAGAGCCGGGCAAGTACACAGTAGATGTTTCCTTTGCATTCAGCTCGTTGCATTTCCTTCAAGCATCGCTGTGAATTAGGTTTAGTTTTCGGGCATGTGATGCGACCAGACAGTGACCTATCAACACACCAATTAATGTTCTACAGTTCCTTTGGTTATTGTCAAGTACATGTTTGCATATATATTGTGATGTAAAGTCTTAAAACAATTACTTTAAATCTATTAGAGTCGGATTTGTGTCCAGAACTTAAGTCTATACTGACTTAAGTCTCTGTACTTTATGCTTAAGTCATCAAGTTTTCTAACTGCATATACTTAAACCAGTTTTGAAATTACAGTTAAGACTGTGGAATCTATTCCTAAATTTGAACATTTTTAAATTCAATTTTTTCTTTTATATTTTAAGATCTCAACCGATTCTCACCTGTAAATCAATGACAAAAGTTGATGATAAATTTATCTATGAGACAGAGAAAGATAATTCACATAATAAATTGTTAAAACAAATCCAAGGCGGTGTAAAATTGAAACCCACAAAAACACATGATCGCAGTAAGCCGTTTATAGAGGGTCTCAGAAAATTCCGCAAGCAAATGACAATTGAAGAGCAATTACAAAAATCACAATCAAAAATAAATATGCTAGGCGAGGTAACACTACTAGTTTTCGATTTTAGAATATAACCATTTCATTCAATAATTACACATCACACTTATTACAGGCACCCAGCAGTATAGCTACTAAAGATGAAGTTGGCTCTTCAAGCGGTATTGTAGCTGCGCTATCAATCGATGATCCAAGCGGTGATGAACTCGACGATATCGATAACATACGCGACGATCTGCAGAGTACAAAGCAAATGTTGGCACTCGAACTGCGTACTCGTGAAGCACAAGAACGTGAAAATAAAAAACTCTTGGCAAAAATTGCAACACTCGAAGCTGAATTGGAACGTGAGAAATCACGTGAAAAGAATTTGGAATATGGATCGAATGTTATAGTAGCAACTATGGATGCAACACCAGGGAAAGAAGAACTTTATGTGCGCTCACTGCAAAAAGAAGCAGAAGAATCGCGTAACGCTTCAAGTGAATTACAAAAGAAATATTTGGATACTGGTGAACTCCTTGATCAGGCCAAGAGTGAAATTGAAGAACAGAAACGACAAATACAAATGTTGGAACGTAAGTTGGCGCAGGCATTACAGGTAAGGGATCGTATTTCGTCCATTTTTTAAAAGATAGCAACTTGCTTTATATTTGCTTAATATTATTTTTTATTTTGCTTGTTACTTTTAAATGCTTTTGCTTTACCATAAAAAGAGTGAGCTAACACCCAATACTAAAGCTTCCCAATTTAACTTTTGCTACGCTTATGAAGATCCACATGACTATGACACATACTATGAAGCAAATGCTATACATTACAATAAGTGGCAGGTAAAAACAGAATGCGCTTTACTTAACTGAAATTATCAAAATAATAAGCATCAAGAAAAACTGTTTAGAATATAATAATATTAATTTTCCTCGTATTTACAGGGCGGTGGTTCAATTGGTGGTTCGAGACGCGCTAGTGAGGCACATTTAGGACGTGACAGTTCACCTGAATTCGATGTTGAACTTAGCGAAAGTGATCCAGACGAACCTGAAGAAAAAAAAACTGAACGACGTGAACGACGTTTAGTTAAGGAAGTGAAAGTACTGCGCAAGAAACTAACAATTCTCAAAGTCAAACAGGAAGCAGCTAAGAAGGAAAAAGTGGCCTTGAAACAGGCAATGAAGAAGAATCATGTTATTCTTAAGTAGGTTTATAAGATATATACTTGATGTTTTATCTGTCATGTGATTAATTTTACAGGGAAGAAAACAAAAAATTCAAAAAATTGGACAAAGAAGTTCAAAAAATGGCGAAAAATATGGAAGAGGAACCAGACTTCGACGATTTGGACGATGATGAAGAGAAACCTGTAAGTTTTAGAAATTTGCTGTATATAAGATGTAGTAGCTTACAATTTAGATAATTAACTAGGAACTATTTTGTTTAAGCAGATACAAGAGTATTAAATAATTAATGGTGTGATGATGTGTAAATAAATATTCAGAAATAAGCTAAATAACAAGTTTAACAATTAAGAGTTAAATGTTAATAGTTATTGTATACAAACACAATATAAATAATTTATAGTCTAAGGTATGTATATAGACACAAACTAAATAATTAAGACACTAGGGATCACTGTTCGATCGTTGTGAATTCCTAGGAAAGCATAAGACAATCATCAAGAAAATTTAGGACAATATGTTCAGAATCACCACATGGATACTTTGAATCACTTTGAATTCAGGTTCAGGTTTATCTTTGTTGCGTTGATTTTTTCAATTGACCTATTTAACCTATTTAAGCATATTAAAATTACATATTTCCCGTGGCAATTTAGTTTTATTAAATATGCAACTAGTGACAATATTGGAATACATCTTTCAGCCATCGCACTATTTTTCGTTCATTTCGAATAAGAGATCGTATAGATTTTTGGCTATATGCGTGGAGATTATTCGAGATCTTAATTTTGGACGGAAGAATTGGCTCACTTACTATTTATTAGAATATTTCTAGTGTTAATGACTTTGTTGTATTTACGAAGGAAAGCTTATTTCTTTTATAGTTCGGGAGAAACAATAATATAAGCAGCCACTTTAAAAGTATTGAAGAGATTGTAACACGTATGATAAGAAAAGCAATCGTTATTTTAATCGTACTGTAATGAACTCCTGGTTTTAATAAAAAACTGTTTAATATTAAATTTAAGATTTATTGCCATTTAAAAAAAAACTATTCTCATATCTGTTTTATGAGACTATGAGACTTTGTTCTTCATTTTCTTCTCGTAATGGAAAACGAGTTGGTGCCTAAAGCACATAAACTCCATTGATAAATGGGTTTGAATTATTCAGGTTATTATATAGAAATAAAGTTTGCAGTTGAGCAAATCTTTCTGACGAAATATACATATACTGCATTTGTTTTATGAAAGTGCAATTTTCTGTCTGTTATTTACTTTTACGCACTCTCGATTCTCAAATTCTTGTAATATACCCATAAGTTGCTGAAAGGAGTCACTAAAAATTTAGTAATAGACTATAACAACTTAGTTAATATCATATCCCAAAAAGAACATTTTTTGTATCTCTGAGCACGCTTAACGATGAGCACCATTTACACGTCTGTACAGATCGGCTGCGGAATGTCGACCCGGCCATTCCCGGAACTGAGATTTAGTATATCTTGGTAATTTTAGACAAAAATAATTAGCTAGTTTACATTATATTCTTATATTCTTAATAAAGTACCCTTATTTATTTCAATAGTATATATTATAATATATATTATAATAATATATAATCTTAAGTGAGCGATAAAAGAATAATAGTTGAGCTTATCTTTCTTTTTGTTAATTCTTTCAAAATTATTTGAATATATTTTCCACTCATGACATTATTTTTGTTTATATTAATAGAAAGCAGACAATGAAGCTGAACAATCAGATGAGGAAGAGGAAGAAGAGGAGGAATCTGAGGAAGAATCCGAAGAATCAGAATCAGAAGAGAGTGAAGCTGAAACAGAAAGTGAAAGTGAAGCAGAAGTAAGTGTAAAAAAAAATAGTTTTTTTAGAATTACCATTAATTAAAATTTTTGTCTTACAGGACGCAACAAATACTGACAAGAAAAATAATTTGGAACCACGTGTGAAGAAACATGAAAGCCGCCTCTCAGCCATGAAGAAATGCAATGTGCTCCTACAAGCAAACGTAGATAATTTACAGGATGAAATCACACAAGTACGCGCCAAGGCAGCCAATTTACAAGCCGAATTAGACGCAGTACTGGCAGATTTAGGATTTTAAATTATAAACGTTATTTTAGCAGAGAACTTATTGTGTTAACTGTTTTGCTTTTTTTTTAGGTATTTTATATTCTAATTGACTTGTATTTATTAAATATAATAACAATAAAACATATATATGTTAAAAAATAAAATAGTTTGGCTTACCTGATTTGTGTTATAGTTTTATATTGATAAATATGAATATGAATAATATAAACTGCAAAAACGTGTTATATTAACACCAATTCACAAAACTTGAGGAAATTCCACGTACGCCGGTAGTTTTGCTACTCCAACAATGTTCACTTCTGCTGTAGTAAGAATCAACAGAAAACAATTTTTATTAAATAGAAAGCAAATATACTTTTTAAAACAAATTGTTATTAATAATTTTGCACTTTTTTATTAAAACTTTACAAAAGCAAATTAAAATCCACAACACAAAAACAAAAATGTTTGTTTTTAAATTTGGCACCGGCCTTATGTCACTGCGTGGTTGCTATGACAACTACAGCTGTTCGCATTGCCAATATTAGTACAATTATTTTGAGAAATAGAATTGGCACTGAACGTACGCCTTGTAGAGTGTGTGTGTGTATGTTCATTTGTTTTGAAGCGTAATACAGTGCTTGCAAGTAATAAATTTTGCTGCTGCGTTTATTTTCAAGCCTTTAGTGTTAAATTATTTAATAATGTAATATTTTATAAAAGATTTACTGAAAATATAAAAACAAAATGCTTGTAATGTGCTATTATAAGTACATGCAAGCGTTTTAACGTTATTCGGCATGTGCAAACGTACGCAGACATTTTAGCAAAAATCGATTTTTCAAAAGTACGTTACCATAAACGCTTTAAGCATTTAAATTAAATTTAAAGGTAGTACATAATTTTTTTTTGTCAAAAGCTTTATTAAATAATTGAATTTTTACCTTTTAATTAAAGTTAGCCAAATTAGTGATACGTAATAGTAGTTAAAAAAATGTAATTAGTTATAATCCTTAAAACCATACAACGATACGCGAAAACATAAACCAAACGAAATGCCTGAAAATTTGGAATTACATCAATTTGTGGACGGTTTTCGTCACAGTGAAACCAGAAATCGTTGGCTATCACGCATTAAGTCGAAACTAAACTGTCCTTATTTAGGAATAATACTCGCTACACTCTCATCCTTATTTTTCTCACTTTGCTCCGTTATTGTCAAAGGTCTAGTTGATATCAATCCTATGGAATTAGCATCCTTTAGGTAATGTAATTCGTTAATCTTGTAATAATTATTTGAAAATTATAATTCACAGATTTGTTGGTGTGTTACTTCCTGCAATACCAATTGTCATCTATACTAAGCAACCCGTCTTCCCTGAAGGTAAACGTGTAATATTGCTCTTGCGTTGCTTTATGGGCACAACTGGTTTGATGCTCAGTTTCTATGCCTTCCGCCATATGCCACTGGCTGATGCCAGCGTTATTATATTTTCGACGCCAGTTTTTGTTGCCATATTTGCGCGCGTTTTCCTCAAAGAACATTGCAGTTTATTTAATATTTTAACTATAATATTAACACTGGTGGGTGTAGTACTTATCACAAGACCACCATTCGTATTCGGCCAACAAGCAACAACAGATGTGAATTTGGAACGTTTGGACGGGAAACACTATGATATTTGGGGTCCAGTTGCTGCTATATCCTCCACACTATTCGGTGCCAATGTTTATATACTACTGAGAGCACTTAAAGGCTTACATTTTTCAGTGATTATGACAAATTTTGGTGCATTTGCATTAATTTATACAATAATAGTGTGTGGCACAATTGGTGCCATATGTTGGCCAGCATGTGGGCGTGATCGCTGGTTAGTTGTTGTATTAGGTATATTTAGTTTCTTGGGGCAAATATTGCTCACACTATCGCTACAAGTGGAACAGGCTGGACCAGTGGCCATAGCACGTTGTGCTGATATCGTTTTTGCTTTTATATGGCAGACAATGTTTTTTGGTGAAACTCCCACAGGATACTCACTCGTTGGCGCAATGCTGGTTGTCAGCAGTGTTATATTAACTGCTCTTAAAAAATGGGCGCTTTCGTTGCCACGCGAATCAACGGCACGTAAACGTTTACGTTATTTGCTATTGGATTAAAAATTACTCAAGCTTTTGTGCGTTCACGAAACACAGAAGCAAGCATTGTGGTTTCTCTCATAGTTAATTAATTTAAGATATACTTATAAATATTAAGTTATATACGTATATATATATTTAAGTACATATGTGTTTCTGTATGTAATCAAATTTTTTAGTCAATTTTTTTTGTTTGGATTTGTTAACTAACTAAACAGAGGCTCGTTTATTTATTTATTATTTTTATTAACTCATATATACATAAACGTCAAATAGTATTACTGATGTGATTTATGTACTTAAGTTGTCTAAGTTTTAAAGTAAATTCACGTTGAATTAGTGCAATTGTAATCAAATCTTTAAATTAAAATATCGACTATGTAGTAGGTTATTAGCCTGCATATGTATATGCTCAAGACAGTTTAACTTTATTGGTATTAGCTTGCATGGAAATATATTAAAATTAAATCATAAAATATTAACTATTTTATCAACTAAAAATTTTCTACAAGATTGTAAAAAATTTTAAAATTAACTAGAATTTTTTTGACCAGTAAGACTTTCACTAATGGGAGTTTCTTTGTTCGTTTTTTGTAAGAACAATATCAAATTTAGCAAAATTATATAATATATAAAAAAATGTATATTTATTAAAATAATAAAATTTACTCTACTAAAAACTTTAAGCGTTTCTTTTTAAATTGCAATAAATATTATGGCCTAAATAATTGATATTTTATTCGACATGTTAAGGATGATACAGGATTTTATATTAAAAGTATGTAAAAATATGGCGATATAATTAAAAGGTCTGTTGCACGAGCTACTCGTTGTAACTTTGAGTAACACTGTGCATATGCAAATGCGTTCCATCAGCAAATTTTCGAGTAAATGAGAGCATCTGAGAGAGCATAACATCCCTGACGAAATTTGAAAATGCTACACCGACTGTACTCGTATATTTTATTTCAAGTAAAATTTGTGTGATGTGTGAATCAGAATCAGTTTTGGTTTGAATTTAAATTCAAATAACACGGCACTGGTGTTCTCACCAGATTTTACACAAAGCTGTTCCATGAAAATCTGTGTAAAGATCGTTGGTTACACAGGCCAGCAATTTCTTAAAGTTATAATTACGAACCCCGTAACTATATATGTCTTAATATTAATAATGGTTGATAAAGGCTGTTTGGAATATGGTATGAAGATCAAATATTCCAAATGTTGTAACGAATGAATTTCGGATTTTACGTTTTTTGTACAAAGCTAGTTGCCTGTTTAAAAAAATATCCCATTTCTTTATATAAAAGGTAGTCAGAATATAATAGGTGACAAATTGTTTTCATATCAAGAAGTAGATTGCAATATAAATAATTACTTTAACTCATACGGTCATTCAATTCACTGTACCATACGAGTGAAGGTGTTTAAATTATGAATAATGTGAATTGGTAAGGTTATGAGTCTATTTGAATATTAGCTAAAATCGATTGTATACGTCAAAAACCATATTGAACATATCGTTTGAAGAAATTAGAGTCTGTAATGTCGTAAAATTATCTATAAACAATTAATTTGAATATTTAGGATACTATTTTCTTATCCATACTTTTTATATTATATAATTAATAGTAAAAATAAAAATTAAAATTTAATAACTAAAAATGACTATATAATTAATTAACTTAATCAGTCTACAGCTGGTTCATGATTTTGTTTTAATGTAACACAGCAAGTAAATTTGATAATGAACATTCACAGCAAATTAACAAAAAACGCCAAGTATATTTGAAGTACGGCTTTGGTTCAGTTAACTAATGAACACTGACTCTAAGCTTTGAATTTTGCAGGGATCGAATTCAAACGTTAGGGACTTGCAGTCTCAAAAATTATATACGAATACGATGATGGGTATTTGGCAATACCCGATATATAACTTACGTGGATATCAAAAACATAATACATCCGTTTCATGCGGACAAACTGTACTTTAAAGTGTCAAATTACACTCTTTACACAGATTTTCATGGAAGAGCTCTGTGTAAGGTCTAATGCGAACACCAGTGTACGCACAAATAAATAATACAAAAATTTGAATTCAAACCAAAACAGCTGATTCACACATCAACACAAATTTAACTTGAAATAAAATATACGAGTTAAGTCTGTATAGCATTTTCAATTTCAACAGGGATGCTGTGGTCTCTCAGATGTTCTCATCATGAGATACAAAACACATAAATCATAATTTTATAAGAGCTTTAAAAGGAAATATATCAAAAATCAGTTGATCAGCGTTAAGAAATAGAGGAATTTAGATTCTTTTAAATACTAACAAAAACTAGAGTAACCAAACAATTTAAATCTATATTTCATGTAATATATTAATTCTATTAATCGAATTTTTCAATTAACAATTCAGCTGTGAAAAAATATATTTGTTGGCTTTACATTTGTAATTTAAATGGTTTATATATGAATGTGATAGAACTAAAATCGCTTGTTTTCAATGTTTTAAAATTCTTCTAGAGAAACCGAGTAGTAAGTGATTGAAGTGAAAAAATTTACTTTAAAAATCTTTAAATAAATTATTAAATAAATTAATTAATAGTTATAATAGAGAAACAATCTACAGTTTCCCTGGAGATGACTATTGAAGATAGTCGATATATCGGAAAAATATTTTAATAAAATATTATTTGTATTTAAATATAAATAATAAATTATATTTTTTTTATTTCTATTTAAATGATATATTATACCACTAATAAGTTATTAGAAAGCGTTAATGATAAAATAATTCTAAAATGAAATATGTTCAAATTATGTGCTGAACATACCCTATCATTAATATTGACACGTTTTCTAAAATCTCCAGTGACTGTAAAACTGTTTACTGTCAACTTGTCGACTTGTTAAAAAATTAAAACTGATTGTGATATCATAACAACGAAATTTA